CCATGTCATCTATTACGAATGTAAGTCCAATGTCTCAACAACAATTGACTTCAACTAATCCTATGGCTGCTGCTGTATCATCACATACTACTTCTCTGAACGAAAAATATCATCGAAACTTCATCATAAATTCTATTCATAAATGGTGCACCAAATATTTTTCTAATTTATCATTAACTGAAGGCGATAATTATCATCTTATTGTTATATTCACAGACACCAATGAAACAGCGAAAATAAAATGTGGATGTGGAAGTAGGGTGAGTCTCGTAAAAATTCGAAAAAACTTTCAGCTGTCCAATTTCTACAAGCATCTGATGTCATCATCATGTTCTATCATGCACAAAGAGAGTTCAACAACAGTAACAAATGAAATAAATATAAATGAAAATGGCTCTAGTGATAGTAATAACTCATCATCACAAGATGCCGTTTCTCTTAATACGGTTCCATCTACAAAGAAAGTTCCCTTTCTCGATAAAAGTCAAAATGATCGAAAACGTGCTGCTTCACCTAATATAACTAACAAGAAACACACTAGAAGTCGTTAACAGTATAAATAGACCTTTTTTTAATGTAATATATAACTTTTTTAGATTTTATCGTATTGTAAATATTTTATATTATACTATATCACATTGTATTATTTATTATTTGTCATAATAAACTTATATATATAGACCAATGTATTATTGAAAACCTGACTTTTATTATATAAATCTTGATTTGTTATTTAAACATTTTTTTTAGATTTTTCTACTGTATATATTTCATCATTAATTGTACTTTACTTACACGCACTCTTAAATGATTACATATACATGCACGATTGTGTAGCTTAAAAATTTAACACAATACATTATATAAACGTCGCTTCTTCGACGTAAACATCTTGTTTTTAAAATCTTATCTACTAAGTACTTCGTCTTTAATCGTACTTTATATACAATTATACACATTGACATTAGAAACAAACGTTTTTTAAGATCTTATTCAACTATATATTTCGTCGTTACTCGTATTCTATTATATGTTTCGTCGTTACTCGTACTCTAGCATATATTTCGTCGTTACTCGTACTCTAGTATATATTTCGTCGTTACTCGTACTCTAGTATATATTTCGTCGTTACTCGTACTCTAGTATATATTTCGTCGTTACTCGTATTCTATTATATATTTCGTCGTCACTCGTATTCTATTATATATTTCATCGTTACTCGTATTCTGCTATATATTTCGTCGTTACTCATATTCTACTGTATCCTTCATCTTCACTCGTACTTATCTATATATATTCGGACGAACATATATACACATAGACCATTATACCACAGAAAAAAATAGTTATTGAAAAAATCGTACAGATGAGCATACGATAAGCTTTGATTTTTCTATTTAGCAAATATTTATTTTAAGAGTTTTATTGTCCTCAAAATTTTTTTATACAATTGATTTTTAATAAAATTCACAACGATAACCTAAAGTTCTTACGAATAAAAAGAACGTATTTGCTATTTTATTATCAAAAATTGAACGCCTCCTATTTTATTGTCGAATTCTTGTCAAAAAACATCAACTCTATGCAAATTACTATTTTTTTGCAATTAGAATTGTTACATAATAGTAACTCTAGATGTATTGACTTTTGTTGAACTTTGCTAAACTATATTCTCGAAACTATATTCTTTTTCTAAAATATTGTTCATTTACTATTAAAAAACATCTTTTAAAAAAATAATGTCCAAATCTTTACCAACTAACATTCTCAACTATTGTGACGATGACTTTTACGAACTTGTCAAACAAAAATGTGGTAGCGATGTAGTTGAATTCTTGAAAGTTCTAAATATTTCGTCTGTCCAGTCACTATTGGGAGTAAACAATTTGTTCGAGTGGCTGGAATTTAATTCAGAAAAACTACGGATTATTAAAAATAAATTAGCTTTTCAACATGATAATGGTTTCATTGAAGTCAGATGGGGCGTTCGGACCTCATTAGAACGTTTTATTCGAGATTTACGAGCAGTTAGCGATGGTGATCAAGATGTAACAGAGCAAGTAGTCTCGCAAACTGACCGTATGACTCTTTCATCCGATTTTCTTCAAAAACATCCAGTATTAAAGTCTTTAATCAATTTGTACCAGACAATAGATAGTCAAAACCATGAAAATGATCTTGAAAATCCGTCTTTTTTAACTTCTCTGCTTGATAATATTAGTAACAACCTATGTCGATCAAAAAATGCATATCGTTATAATGATTATGTCCTTCGATTTGCTGTGTCATTGTATGTACAAGGTGGAAAGAATGCGTACGAGTTCGTTAGATTGAACATACCAGGTGCACTTCCGTCTATATCCACTCTTCAAAGACTTGCTATAAATACAGAGCTTCGAATTACTGAAGCAGATTTTCGTTTTGACTCGTTGGCTACACATATGAACACAGTTGAAACAAATATCTCTTTTGCTTCAGAGGATTGCACAGCAGTCGTGAAAAAGATATCTTACGATAATGCTACGAATTCATTCATTGGTTTCACAACGCCTTTGAAAAATGGACTACCTATTCCTCTACATTATCAAACAGAATCTTTCGAACAACTCCGTGATTGGTTTCTTAATAAAGACTGTTCGCCTCTGTTAAATATTCATATGATTCAACCTATTACTAGAACAGACATGTCATCAAATCCTTTTTTGCTTTCTGCTTATGGAACAGATAGTGAATATAAATCTATAGACATAATTCGTCGTTGGACATGGATTTTCGAGCAAACTATGCTCAAAAATATTCGTATTGTAGGATACTCGACTGACGGAGATCCTAAATATTTACGCGCTATGCGCCTTGCTACAGGCTTCTTTGCCTCTTTATCAAACATAAAATTAAATAGTCATAATGATGCATTCCATATTAAAATTCCAAAAAACTGGAGTTGGTATTTTCTTTACGATCGACAACTATTCCTATGCTTTCAAGACGCAACACATTTGTGTACAAAATTGCGTAATAGACTGCTCTCTAGTACAGCTAATATGCTAATCGGTAATCGACATATTTCACTTGATTGTCTGTCAACATTAATCAATAAATTTTCCAAATTACATCATAATCTAGTCAAATCAGACATATTTCCTAAAGACCGCCAGAACTTTAACTCCTGCATCAAGATTTGCAGCGACGATGTAATTAAATGTCTGTTGAATATACCTAATACCGAGGGCATGATTATATATCTTCGTCTACTTCGTTCAATTATGATTGCATATATTGATAAAGAAACAGTTTTCATTGATCGACTATATCATGCTTGGTTCTCAGTTTTTCTTAGTCGTTGGTGGCGTAGCTGGCTTGAAAGTATGTCCAATAACGAATTGACTCAAATACTTTATCAATTATCTGGTACTACAAGCAGTCAAAGGCAGGAAATAAAAAAGGAATCTTTTTTCATCACCAACAATGCTTATTATTCGATTGAAATTAATGCTCATCAGCTGACGTATCTTGCTTTGCTAGTCATCGAGAAGAAACTACCAATGGAAGCACTGAACATCTATCTTTTCAACTCTCAAACATGCGAAGCAATATTTCGCTCAACTCGTTCAATGTCCGGTGCATTTTCTTCCATTGTAAACTTCAGTATACGAGATTTTCTTAATCGTGCTCAAAGGTTATCTGCCTTTCAGAAGATCAAGAGCGAAAGTGAATACAGTACGAGTACTGAAGTTCTACTTTTTCCGAAGCATCATAAACACGGTAAATCATTCAAACAACCGTCTCCAACAATATCAGCGAACTATACACTCAATATAGAAATGGTCGAAAAAATAGTTGGTCAAGCCTTTACTGATGTCTCTCAAATGCTTTCTGATCGTCAAATTATAGAAGTACTCGATAAAAAAAATATCGTAAACATGAATCAACTGAGCAACTATGTTCGAAACATACTGAGAAAAAGAATAATTATTGACGATTCTTACAGCGTGTGTGATGAAATGTCTGATTCAGAAAACGAATTAGATCTTGTGATAGATTCTGAAAATGCTAGTGACAATGAAGAACAGTTCGACGACGAGAACAATGAAGCATCAAGTGCCTTGTCAACAGACATTTCACTTGACCTGCCAGATCCTACGTTTTCCAAAATGCGCATTTTTAATACAATTCGTCCAGAACTGAAAAGTTCTTATTTTGAAATAGAAATATCTGGTCGAAAGAAATTTATTCACAAACAGACAGCTTGTTGGCTTCTAACGGAAAATAAAGCAGCCTTGTCAAGCGATCGTCTTACTCGCGTAAGACAACACTAGTATAAAACTAAAAGACAATCCAGTAGACTTTTGTTATAAAGACTAGGAGTTAAAAATCGTCATCTTGTTTTTTCTTTTTTTTGAAAATAAACAATAAAAGTTCATTCTGTTCCTTGTATTGAAACAGATAAAAGAGTAATAAATACGACGATAGCTGTCGATCTCATAACTGGTAGAAAAAAAAACATGTGAATATTTCTTTAGTTTGCCACAGATAAATCGTTTCACATATTACAGCAAATACTTAACTATACTATTTCGGTTTTAATTTTACGTTTCTTTATATAGGTTTATTCGTGTGTATTTTAAGTTTCTGCACATCACTGGCCATTGTCTTGGTAGATATCTGCATATGGTTGTATGAAAATTGAGGAACACAAAAATCAGACTATTCATTTTTCAAAATTTATATTTCGCATGCCACATTTGACAGGAGAAGACATCCATGTAATGATCTACAATTGTTTGTAAATTCTTTACTGTTGCAATCATCAGCTAAGTTCACCATTTTGTTGTTAAAAACGATTATCAAATTTACAAAAGCGATACTTATTTTTTTCCATGCAATCATACAGTAAAAAATACTGAGATACAAATCAGTGGCAAATACACTTTATACGACGTCATATAAAAATTATATTTCTTGGACTCTCCGGGCTCTCATGTACTTCCATGGTACCCCCAGAGTCCAGGGAGTACCGGAGTACAGCGGAGTATAGGACTACGGGAGTACAGCGGAGTATAGGGAGTACGAGAGTATGTGGTTTCCCCCTTGATACGATGTCATATAAAAACTATATCGCTTGGACTCCCTGGGTTCTCATGGACTCCCGTTGTACTCCCGGAGTCCAGGGAGTACAATGGGAGTACGGGAGTACAGCGGAGTACAGTGGAGTACAGGGAGTACGGGAGTACGGGAGTACGTGATTTCCCCCTTGTGAAAATCTGTTAACGTATATCCCATATACCACAAACTCATCAAAAAGGTCATTGAGAAACATTGATTTGACTTTCACAAATTTCTCAGGAGTAAAAGGGGAGACATTACTATTTGGAACTAGTGATCATTGGCCATTAGTGCATAGATCAGAACTCCTCATTTTTCAAACTAGTCAAAAATTCTCTATCACAAAATAGAAATATTTCGAAGTAATTTTATGTTTGTTACAAGATTATTGGATGAAACAGAGCGATTTCATGACAGTAACTGAATGGTATGAAAGTTATATTCGGTT